TGAATTAAAGTGTTACCACCGCTGGTGCGTGAAGGGCTGCAGCCAGCGCTGGTAGGTTTTGGGGACCAGATTCAGCCCGGGACAGTATGCATGTATCAGCACAAAGGTGTTTGGAACCTGAAACATGAGCAGGTGCGGCAGCCTCCCATGCTAGGTGAGCCCAATCCGCTGTCCCTTCATTTGTCCCTAATTTCTGCCTCCGGGGTCTGCTGGCATCTGAGGGTTCTCGGCATCATGGGGGTGGGGGTGGGAGAACTCCACCCTCCCCAGCATCTGCACTCTCTGCCCTGTGTTACTTTCTTCGCGTTACATAACATCTTTATCGGACTGAAAGTTGCATACAGCACAGTTTACAAACTTAAAGTGTATGATTCAGTAGGTTTTAGCAGATTGACAGAGCTGTGCAGCCATGATCACTGTCAAATTTAGGTCATTTTTGTTTTCCCAGAACAAAACACTCTACCCAGTAGCTGCCATCTCTCCCCCAGTCTCTCCCACACTAAAGCCAGGCAACCACTGAGCTGCTCTCTGTCTTCCTAGATTTTCCTCTTCCGGGACTTAATTTTTTAAAATTCAAAATAGCCCATGGTCATAGCGATAATAAAGACCTTAATGTAGCAAAAGAAATGGGAATCCAAAGTGAGTTCCCACACACTGTTAGAGTAAAACTAGAAACATACTTAGAGTACAATAGAGTTTTCCTGTTATTTTTTATTTCATTTTATTTCATACTTTTTATTTCATACATTACATATTAACTTTGTCATGTAAGAGAAACCATGTGATGTTCAATCTTGTCTGTCTGATTTACTTCACTTAACACTATGGCCTCAAGGTAACTCCATTTCCCTACAAATCCTTCCAGTTTATCTTTCTTTATGGCAGAGTAATACTACATTGTGTGCAAATACCACATTTTCTTTATCCATTCATCTGCTTATAGGCATCTAGGCTACTTGCAACATTTAATTATTATGAACCGTGCTGCTATAAACAGAGGTTTGCATACATCACTGTGACCGGATGTCTTTAACTCTTTGGGGAAGATACCTAAAAATGGAATGTCTAGTTTCACTTTTTTGAGGAATTTCCGTACTGATTTCCACAGTGGTTGCACCAGTCTACACTCCCACCAACAGTGGGGAAGGGTCCTTTTCTCTTCAAAACCCTCCAGCATTAGTTACTGGTGGGTTTACTGATGGAAGCCATTCTTTCTATGCTGAGATGAAATCTTACTGTGTCTTAATTTGTGTTTCTCGAATGGTCAGTGATGTTGAACATTTTTTCATGTTTTTATTGGTCAATTATATTTCTTCATCTGAAGAGTGTCTGTTCTTTTCAGATGCCCATTTTTTATTGGATCTTTTATTTGGGGAAGTGTAACATTTTGAGTTCTCTAATACTCTGGGTGTTAATCTTTTGCCTGAAGGTGAGCTGGTAAAGGCATTCCCCCCCCCCATCGTGTATGTCATTCCTTCGTCATATCATGTGACCCCAGGAAAAGTGACTGAACCTCTGGACCACTCCAGGTTGATGGGGTAGCAACTGGGTGCCCTCCTCTCACCTACCCACAGGGCTCCCACACACTCTCTTGCACACCCTCACACACTTGCAATGTTTCCCAGCAGCCACCCTTTCACTTCCCAGAAGTGACTGGGTGTCTCGCAGCTCTCCTCAGGGCTTCTCCAGAGCTGTCCCCTCCCAGTTACTTGATGCATTGTGGAAATCCTCTAGCCCCCTCTCAGACCTAGCTGCCTGACAGACCACATAGATCATCTCCTGGGGGTTCACTCAGCCCGAGCCCTGGCCCGACCCTCCCTGGGCAAGCAGAGCCGTATGGTGAGGGATTCTGTCCTTGAGCCCCTCGGGGACAGCCCAGGGCTCTTCCTTCACTCTCAGTACCTGTGAGAGGCAAGGCCAGCATGCTGTCACCCATCACTGTGTCCTGGCAGCTCAGAAGACTGGGTATATGGCCAGTCTGAGTGTCCAGGGCTAGGTCTGCACCTTGAACAAGTTAATAAACCTCCTAATATAATGGACACAGGGTGATCAAAGTATGCAGTGCTATGTAAAATTTTTAAAAAATTTATTACAGTAAAAAACATTGCTGTGAATCCCCCTCAAAACACTCCCTCTTGCTTCCAACACACTTGTCTCATCGTCCTCACCTGAGTATCTTTATGAGATGTGATCGAATCTGATGGATGCTGCTGTGCCCACCGCCCTCCAATGGAAAGGCGGGCTCCTGGGAGCACCTCGGTGCGTCCTCACCCATCGTGTTCCCCACAGCTGGCCCCCCTCCACACAAGCCTGAAGGGTGAACGCTTCAAATCAGTTCAGGACACAGAGGCAGCCAGAGTAGCGCAAAAGAAGCTCCCCATGAAGGAGGACTTTAGAACCGTTCCAGAAAGCAGCGAGAATAGTGGATGAGCTTTTGAAGACAGAGGAGTATTTCCAAGGGGAGCAATGGCAATGTGTATTTCCTTGTCATCACTTAAAAGAAATTGTGCGTTCACTGTGTTTTAATCATCCCACGTGTGGCCTCACTTCCAGAGTTCTTGGGGGATGAACAGGATAGTTGAGACGAGGTACTCTGCACTCAACAGACAGTTCACAGGGGTTGATTCCGCATCCAGGCAGTGGAGAGCTCCTGTGCGTCTCCTGTCCACGTCCATGCAGCTTGAGCAGATGGTGCCCAGCTCAGCAGCGGGGGCCTCCTAGCCAGCCCTCACCGGCTCACTCTCTTGTTCCTTGTTTTTCCTTCTTTCATTGTCTTTTAGGCCCGTGCCTCGTGGTGCCCCCTCCGCTAGTAAGGACACTGAGCAACAGTAAGGTGTCTGGAGGTGGCTGGCTGACTCCGAGAGGTTTTGGGGGGTGAGAGGGGTGCCCTTTGAGAGCACCTGGGTTTCGGGATCGAGTCACCCACCTGTCGTTTTGTACTCTGCTGTTGGGACTGTTGACTGTTACTCTGACAGTGAACACAGACAGTGAAAGCAAGGCTGTTCTTCCAATCCTACAACAGTGGTCAACAGTTTGAAAAGTACTATTTCTGTTCCATCCTCATTTTCTGTATAGTGGCAGCGTGAGCCTGAGTCAGATTTGGTGAGGTTCCAACAAAGCGTTTTTGGCGGTGCTGAGACAAGCCCAGAAGCCAAACTGAGTGAAGACTGAGAACTGAAGCAGGCAGAGCTGTCCTTCAGCTTTTAAGGAATTAGCTAGGGAAGTGGACTCTGACACTGGCATTCAAGCAGAGCTCAGGGTTAGTGCCAGCCCCGGACAGGCCCACATCTGTTTCCTTTCCTCCTCTTTATCTTTACCCCATAATTTTCTTTTATGTGCTGTGTACAAGTCATAAATGTGAATTGCTTAATTAAATATTTGAGCCTCCCCTTTAAGTGTGAGGATTCATCGTCTCTCCCAGGGAGAAGTAGCTTTCTAGGTGAACTGTGTGTGCCGTGTCTAAGGTGTGATCGAAATATACAGTGACTGTTTAAATTTTATAAATTACTACAGCACAAGGCACATTGCCAAGAGTCCCCCTCAGAATCTTCTCCCTCGCTTCAAACACACCTGTGCCTTCGTTCTTGCCACTTCCTGTAGCCGTTCTGGAAATGCTGTCCCTGAGTGTCATTAGTTGTGCTGTTGGCTGCCTTGATGTCCTGAATGGACTCAAAACATCCTCTTTCATGGTCATTTTGACTCTGGGGGAAGAACCAGGTGTCGCACAGTGCCAGATGCAAAGAATCATATGCATGAGGGACACACGTAAGGGTTTTATGAGGCAGCCTTTTGGGTAGATGGTACTTAGAACCAGTATTCACTGCGATTTTTGTTTGTTTGTTTGTTTGTTTGTTTGTTTGTTTTTTTGGTCTTTTTCCTTTTTATCGGTACTGGGGATCGAACTCACAACTGCCTGCTTGCAAGGCAGGCGCTTATGCCACTGAGCTAAATCCCCAGCCCCATTCACTGCGTTTTTTAAAAATTGCACTTCATAAAGACGCTCATAAACAAGGACTTCCAGAACTGCTTCAGAAAGAGGCAAGAAGGATGTGTGAATGTGTTTGAAGCAAGGGGAAGATTTTGAGGCTGATGAGTAGCAATGTGGCCCTTGCTGTAATCTTTTTGAAAATTTTAACACACATAGACTTCACAATGTGGAGAGAGAGCGCGCTACAGGAGGTCAGCAGCAGCAGACAGTGACAGGCAATGTTCAGTGTCGTGTGGCAGAGAGACAGTCTAGTGAACATGTACCCAATTCCCACGAAGAGTGGGAAGTTTTCATTTAGAAAGAAGCCAAATCCATCTGGGTGAACTGACAATAGCATCTGGGATCTTTTGCTTGGAAACAGTCTAGTGAGTGGGGCGTGGTAAAGCAGAGATGAGCTAAGAGCAGCCATATGCCAGGTTCCTGGTATGCGATGTGTTCTTTTCTATCTGCTTGGAATTTTTCAAGGGATTCAATGTGGAAATGAAACATGAGAGGGAAGTACTATGCAGCCATGTAGCATACATTTAAACTCAGGAATTAAAATTTCCTAAAGGGAATGCATGCACACCCAATGGTGATATAGAAAAATATATTGGAAAGAGATTAAAACATTAATTGTGGTTATCCTTGGTTGGTATGAATTCTGGGTGGCTTTTATTTAATTTTCTGCATTTTCTAAACTTCTACAATAAACAAGAAAAAAAAACATGTAATTTCTCATCATTTGAGAAGAAAGCTTTGGAAGAAAGAACCAAACCTACATTGTGTAAGTGAGTGAAACATTTTCCATGAAATTGCCTCAGTTGGTGATTAGGAAAAATGCTCACGGGCTGCCGATCTCATCACTGTGGCTGTGTTGGGCATGTCCTATCCGGCGCTCTGCCCAGACTCTGCCTTTGCAGGGAGGTCCATGGCAAGGTCCTGGGCAGTGCAGGCACCACCACTGTTATATTATGGCTCCATAGCTCCTGTTCATCATGGCCCTTTAACTTGAATTTCCTTCTGATTTTAGTGAGCTGGACATGATTTCCACGAGGGTGATGGACATTAAGCTTCGGGAGGCTGCGGAAGGCCTTGGCGAGGACAGTGCAGGTGAGGTCCGGGTTTTCCCTGGGTGGGGAAGAGCCTTTGGTTGTGGAGCAGGGGGAGAAGCGGACAGAGGAGACGGGGCTGTGGGCAGAGGGATGTCCAGTCCCCAGCGTGGTCAGACACAGAGGCCCCTGGTGTCATGACTGGCACACATACGCATTATGTAAGCTACTCGGGGCAGTGTTCCTTCCGTTCTCTGCATTTTAATACTGTACTCCTCGTCCTGGAGGTAAACACATCTCCACGCTTGATGTAAAAGCACAGGACAAAGCGCTAAGTGGATTCATTTATCATCCAGGGTTATCCAAAGGATTCAGTTGGACAAAGCACAGGGAAAGCAGATCAGCCAGAAAAATAATTACATCCAGGGCGAGCCTTGAGCCCTCTCTGGCAGCTTCAGGAGGCCTTGATGATAGCCGTTCCTGAGCTCAGGTCCAGGCCTGTGAATCACTGTCTCAGGACGCAGTTGGACAGTCACCCAGCCTGTGATTGGTCCACAGCTATCCGCATAGCCTATTTATGTGTTCAGAGAGCTGGGAATTGACGTTCATTTCTCGCCCTTCCGTGGACCTATTCTCCTGATAAGCCATTTCGCCTTGAGCTCTGATTTAAAGCCAAAATGCCAATAGTGATTTTCTTTGATTTAGTTCAGGAAGAATAGATTTTCTTGTTACTGCAAATTACAATCACTTTTTCTCTGTCACCCTAATATAAAGTATGGTTTGTTTTTTTTTAAAAGATTAATACTGAGGACAGAAATAGAGTTTCAAATGCCCATTGTGGGACCTTGAATTAGTACTGATTTTAAGTAAGAAAATAGTTTGAGTAAGTATTTCAGTTTCCTGAAACAACCTCAATAAATGCTTGTAGGATACTTATAGAGATCACCATGAAAAATCAGTTTTAGAACATAAGAAACTAAATGTCTCGATCCCCAATAATAGTGAGCATAATGTTTTTGGACTGGCCCCTTCCCACTCAAAATTATCTAGGTAAGAAATTCTTCAGCCTCGGGAGGCTGAGGCAGGAGGATCATTGTGAGTTTGAGACCAGCCTGGGCTACCAAGTGAGTTCAAGGTCAGCCTGAACTGCATAGTAAAACACTGTCTCAAAGATATAAAAAAAAATGTCTTTGAAGCTATGTTTTAAAATAAAAACCATGAGGTTAGAAATAAGAGAGAAATGGTAGCCCAGAAAGAGAGGAAGCCCCAGATTTTTTACCAGTCTTGGAAATTTTAAATTTCAGTTTCATGTCCTCATCGCAGGGAACATCAAAGGGGAGAAAGGGTCAAGAAACAAAATGCAAACCCTGTAGCAGGTGGACTGCTGACAAAAAGCAATAAGCCAGGTACTCAAGGAGCTGCAGAATCTCCGCAGGCATGAACCAGGGACCAGCCAACCCTGGGTGGATTTGCAGCTTCCATGTGTATCACTGGGTCATCGGAGAACTTCAACCCTGAGTTGATGAGCTCCAAGCCTGGATGTGACCCCAGGTGCTTTGCAGAAGCAATAACCTTTCCCAAAGGAAGCTTCCTCCCATCTACCTGTTCTTTCAGAACATACAGTTTCAGTTCTAAGACAAGGATACAAGTGATAGCCACACATAGAAGGTAGCAGGGATAGGAACCAACATGCTGTGAGTTGAAGTTTGTCCCCTGAGAAGTCCTACTTGGAAGTCCCAGCATCTCAGAATGTGCTCTTCTTAAGTAGTGAGTGGGCTCCTAATCTGGTGTGAATGGTGTCCTCACCCAGAGGGGAAATGCTAACAGGCACATGTGGAGGAAGAACAGCCTGTGGGCGGAAGTAAAGATGGGATTGGGGTGTCCGTGTGTTCAGGGGCACCAATGCTTGCTGGCAAGGTACCAGAATTTGGGGAGAAGAAACGAGATGGTCTTCTGTATCACAGGCTCAGAAGGAGCCAGCTGTGCCAGCACCACCTGGGTTTTAGCCTTCCAGACTGGAGCTGTGAGGCGGTTCAGGTCTGTTGGAGTCACTCAGTTGGTGGTCGTGGTAGAGCGACCCTGCAGAACTGATGCATTGTAATAATAGACACTGATGGTAGAAATACCACAATGGTCAAATATGTGCTACACAATACGTATGTGTAATTTTCAGAGATAATAAAAGTGCTTGAAAATATCTGGGAGTTCCTAGAAACCATGAAAAGCAATAAGGGAACGAAGCATGGCAATTAGACAAGAAAAGAAAACAAAGAAAGAAAGAGAAAACATAAATATGGAAGGAAGCAGTATAACTATTGGCAGGTGATATGATTATTAAAAATACACATACATGTATAAAAACTATTTAGCTGGGTTGTAAAATATAAACTCATTGAAAGTCCACTGTATTTCTGTACATTAGCAATGAATAGTCAAACATTTGAAATATTTTAAGAGCACCAAAAATTGAAATAGGTATTATTGAATAAAATATATGCAAAGTATATACAAAAATTGCTTTAAAATTGAACAGAGACCTAACTATATGGAAAGAGCTACCATGTTTATGGATTGGAAGACGTGGTGTGGCTGAGATGTTGCTTCTCCACAAAGTGAGCTGCAGAGGCCATATTTAGTATATATAGGTCTAGTGCATTATTTAAAAGATAGATGTAGAACCCTGAAATGCAGTTAGCTTGATATTTAGAGCAGAAATATTGACCAGTCATCATTTTTAAATTTTATTTTTATTTATTTATTTATTTTGATACCAGGGATCGAACTCACAACCTCATACTTGCCAGGCAGGTGCTTGTGCTGCTGAGCTAAATCCCCGGCCCACTGTTCTTTATTTTTGTGAATATTCATAAACCTTTAATGTAGGAAAGAGGCAAATCTAGAGGAACAAAATGAAAATAGTGTATGGAAGGGTTTACTGTAAAATAGCCTGCAGGGGGTGGCAAAGGCCCTGGTAAATACAAAGCAGTCAACATCCCAGGGAAGTGTTTTGCAGCTATTGGCTAGCCGACTGTAAAATTTATGTGAAAACAACAAAAAACTACAAGAGCTAAGACAATTTTGAAGAAGAACAAAATCGGAGCCCTCATAATACCTGATCTCAAGACTTAATATGAACTACTATAAGAAAAAGAAGGTGATGCGTAGAGGTAAATAGAACAGAATGGAGGCCAAAAATAGACCCACATCAATATGAGCAGTTGATTTTTAACAAAGCTATAAACGCTATTCAGTGGAAAAAGGATAAACTTTTCAGCAAGTAGTACTAGAACAATTGGAGACTCATATATAAAAATGATGACTGTTTACCTACATCTCACATATAAAAATTAACCCAAAGTATATCATGTTTTTGTTTACATAAATGTAAACTAGAAAAGAGAAGATACTGGTGGACACGAGGGGTTAAAGGTAAGGGAAAGGTCTGACTGCAGAGAACGACTCCAGACAACTTTGGCGACTGAGGTTCTGTACAGTTTCACAACTTGATTGTGGGGATTATTATGCAACCCCATGTGTGCCAGAGAGAAGGTGGGGAGCACACTGTGGGGAGCACCCCAAAGGCCTTGTACACACTAAGCGTGCACACTACCACTGATCTACACCCCCAGCCTAAAAGTGACTTTTTAATGTAAATAGAATTTTCAGGAATTGATTTTTTTTTAAAAGACCTGATTTACAGATTTAAGAAACCTAGTGAATCCCAAAAAGGGTAAATAAAAAAAGGCAATCCATATAGTGTGAAGCTGAAGAAAACCAAAGCCCAATGAAAAATCTTAGCATCAGCCTGAGAAAAGGAAGCAAATTACTTTAGAAGAGGCAAAAAGCTAGCTGGTGACTGATTCTGTACAACTTCAGCAGATCCGCAGCACAACAGCTTCAGAGCAGCCTTAGAAAAAGAACTGCAAGCCTTGACAGTTGTACCTAGCAGGAATGTTTTTCAGGCATGAGGAGGAAATAAAGGCATTTTCAGACCAAGAAAACCTAGTTTGCCACGTTCAAGCTCTGGGGAGAAAGGATTCTAAAGGCATCTGCCTTGGGGCAGAAGGGGTGGGGTTTAGGAAGCAGTGAAGAGCAGGGAATGTGACAGACAGGGGCCACATGTCTGGGGACACGCGACAGCATGTCTCGGGTATTTTTAACAGTCAGAAGGAAAACAGTGGGACATGACGGCAGGATTACAGTGTCCAGAGGTCCTTGGTTGGCGTCTCATACATAGAATGTGTAACACAATCGGCCGAGTAACTGCTGACCGAACAGGAACAGACAGGAGCCCGTCCAGGCTGTAAGTGGGGAGTGATTGAGGGAAGAGCATAAATGAAAAGGTCAGTTAATGCAAAAGCAGACGAGAGAGGATGTTTAGAAAACTCACCTCAGACAGGAGGCTTCTTATTAGTACATCAGTGATTACAGTGAGCAGAAGTGGGTTGATTATGTTAGCTGTTCCCCTTAAGAATTAAATACTATCAGATTCGATTTCTAACACTATACGAATTTAAATACGAAGATTCAGAAAAGTGAGAGTACTAAAAGGACACAAAAACATACTTTTGGAGACTAGACAGAAGAAGATGACAATACTACATTCATAGTAATCAAAATAAAATTTAAGGCAAAAACATAATTAAAATAGGGTCATGTCACAAAAGAATCAGTTGGCAAGAAAATAGTATTACATTTCTTGTAAATAGAAATTGACAGCTAAAACATAAATAAGAAAATCTACAAAGTGCTTTAATTGAGTTTCTCTCACTGTGAAATTGACAAATATATAAATGAATAATCTGGCAACACAATTAAAAACTTTTTTTCTAATTGACATATATAGAACATGGGAGAAAATACATTATTTTCAAGCATCATAGAAACATTCACAAAAAGTGTTGATATAGCTTGGGGTAGTGATGCACATCTGTGATCCCAACTCTCAGGAGGCTGAGGCAGGAAGATTGCCATAAGTTTGAAGCTAGCGTGGGCTACATAGTTCAAGGCTAGTATGGACTGTAGAGCAAAATACCACAAAAAATTATCAATATGATAAACCATAAAACAAGTCAACCCAAATTTGAATGGATTGAATCATTAAGAAGCTATTATCTTACCACAATACAATTAAGCTAGAACTCATTAACAGAAAAATAATTAAGAGAATCCGCAAGTGGTTGGAAACGAAGACATAATTTTCTAAATAACCTACCAGTCTGAGAAAGTATCATTATGGAAATTAGAAAACATTTTCTGCTCAACAATGTTGAAAGCACTGCAGTTGATAATATACACATGTAGCTAAAACAAACTTAGAAGAAAATGTGTTGCCTATAAATGTATAAATACAGAAAAAGCCTAAAAATCAGTAAGCTAAGCTTTCAAGAAACTTTTTAAAAATAGCAAGCTAAGCAAACCTGAAAAAAGTACAAGAAGGAAAAGACTAAAGCTGAGAACAGGAGCCACAGTAATAAAAATCGGATTTTTATAGGCACATAAAGTCTGCAGACCTCTGGTGCAGTTGATCAAGGGAACGGGCCGGTCAGGAGTAACCCCAGGCCCTGCTCTGGGCCCTGACCAGCGGGAGAGGGAGGGCAGGAACTCTAGGAGTCTTTCAAAACCACACACTCTTGGGGACACCCAGTCATCAGCAGTATGGTCATTTTGTGAGTAAGGAGACTCCCACTGGGCTTTAACAAGAGCTTATGTCCCTTTGGGGAGACCTCCCTTGCCCTCCTGGAGTAGGCCTAAGTAATTCCTCGCACAAAGTCAGGCAAACCTTCAAGGGAGAATTCATTTAAAAAATAAAACTAGAAAGATCCTGTTTTATTTTTAAAGGCCTTCCATGCCCAAGGTATTCACTTAGACAGCGTAGTCTTTAGCCAATCACGTTAGCAGCTGCATTATCGGGGTTTCTTGGTGCATTCTCAGTGCCCGTCCCCTCTGAGGTTGCACACCCCTGAGGCGGGGACAGGCCGTTGTCCTGGAGCTGTGAGGTGTTGGCTGTGAAAAGTTCTGCAGATAAGCACGAGGGACAGAAGAGAGACACGATCACAAAAGTCTAGGAAGCATGGGGTGCGGGGTGCTGGGCTCAGTCAGCACTTGGCTCCTTTCCTGGTGGGACTGGCAATTTTTATCATCCCTAATTGTTAGTTCATTGTGGTGCTTGGCATCCCAGCCAGCCACCCCTCACCTGTGAGGTCATCCTCCGATTGTCCTCACTAGAGAAAGCATTTGAAATTTATTTTTAAAATAACTTGAATATCTTGGAGTATATGCACCATGGAATATTATTCAGCCACCAAAAGGGATGGTATCATTATTTGCAGCAAAATAGATGGAGCTGGAGAAGGTACCCTAAGTGACAGAAGTCAGATGCAGAAAGACAGATGCTATGTGTCACCTAAAACATGTTGATCAGATGTATAATCTGACCAGTCGGAAGGGTGGGAGGGAGGGAGGGAGGTTAGATCGCAGGTACCCAGACACAGATGGGGTAGTACTTAGTGATCTACAGTGTGGTGCAGGGACTACTTCAGCTCCCCATGACCTAGCGGACGTCCTGTGAATGATTGCGGGGGAGGAACTTGAAGCCTCCCATCATGAAATGAGATACTGAGATGGAAACATTGGGAGATGCTATCTGCATGTGCATTGTACTTCACAAATATGTGTGACTGTTCTGCGTTAATAATTTTTTTTTAAAGTTAAGCTGATTGGAAATGTTAACCTACCCTGATGTGGCCATTATACTGTATACCCGTGTGTCAAAGCTTCACACTGTTCTCTCTCAACGGGTATATTTAAAGCAATGCTTCAGGTTTCTTTTTCTTTTCTTTTCTTTTTCCTTTGTTTTATTTTTTGTACCAAGAATTGAACTCACGACCTCACACTTGCCAGGCAGGCTCTAGGCCACTGAGCCATATCCCTAGCCCGCTTAATTTTTCTCAGAAAGGAAAATACGTTACAGGTTGTCATCTAGCCTTTCCCTCCTTGGGACTTTCTCTGATGCCTGTGTACATTTCAGAGATTGGGACTCGATTTCCTGGCGCCCCACGGCGCTCCTGGCTCATTTACTTAAATATCCTAAAGACACAGAGGCTGAATCATTTCTGAGCACATGGGCACTTTCAAGTGGTCAGAGGGTAGGAGAAGTGAGAGGACCGAAGCCCGGCTTCCCACTTCCCGTGCCCCGGCTGGCCCGTCTCACACTGCGCACAGACACACTTTCCCACTGACGATTTGTTTTGCAAATCTGTGTAGGAAAGAAAAAATCCAAGTTCAAAACGTTCAAGAAGTTATTTGGGAAGAAGAAGAGGAAGGAATCGCCTTCATCCACGGGACACAGTGCCTGGAAACAGAATCCGGCCAAGAGCGAGGTCATTCCCATCGAGTCCGGGCCGGTGGGCTACGACTCCGAGGATGAGCTTGAGTAAGTGGCTTTTGCATCCATCCGGCTTGTGCGCTTAGGCCAGACCAGCCTGGGAAGACCCCAGACCCTATTCCACGTCCGGGTAACTGCATCCCGGCACCTCCTTCCCTACCAGTCACTCCATGACCAGCCCTGCCCTACACAGACTTTTCCTGCCCTTTCACACACCAGGATGGAGACAGTCGGGGAGAGGGAACCGCGCTAGGCTGTTGCTGTGTGCCAAGAGCTCTGTGTATTAAAATCCAAGCTGGGCATGGTGGTGCATGCCTGTCACAGAACACTCTGGGAGGCCGAGGCAGGAGGGTCCAACCTACACAACATAGCAAGTTCCTGAGACCTTGGCTTAGAATAATTTTGTAAAAAAGACTGGGGAGGTAGCCCCGGGTAATGTTTAGTTTCCAGTACAGAAAAATGGAGTCTACTGTGAATGCGGGAAGAGACACTGTGTGGATCAGCGTGTGAATAAGCAAAGTAAGCCGTAGAGAAGCCGTGAGCCTGCCGGCCCTCCTACAGCTGAGAGTGGCAGGTTAGGGTGTAGGCTCTGGTTTAAATTAACTGCAAACTGTCTGGAGGATCTGGAAATCTATCCTAGGAAAACACGTTTCTCTAAGTCTGTTAAGAACACTTTCACCAAACAGAGGTGGAACAGAGAGAAAAAGCTTCCTGTGGTTCAGTCTGAGAAAAATTACCCCAAGGTCATTGCAAGAACAGACCCAACGGGCATGCAGACTAGGGGAGGCCCTATGCAGAGAGCCTTATTTTTGCAACTTGTGTATATCATCGAAATACAGCTCTCAGGCTGTAGGATGGTCACAGTTATTGTGTGGCCAAAGGGAGGAGAGTCGAGTTTAATGCTTTACACGCTTCTATGTTTTCTTTAACACTGGCCCTTGAGTTGGAGGGTAGAACGCTTGAGAGAGCCTGGGCGCCCCTGGGGTGCAGAACAGCACCCCTCCCGCATCCCTGTCATCCGCCTCCCCGCCTATTTTTACGCTGACCACTTGGTGGCACCAGATGACTGGACAGGAACAATTGCATGTTGATTCATTTATTTTTTTCTGCTGCCAGCAGGAAGCAGGGGGACTCTGCCTGCTCCTGGAGAGGCCGGGAGGGGAAGGCTTCACGGGTTGCTTAGGCAATGAGCTGCAACCCTTGGAAGCCAGACTTGGTCTTGACCGCAGGACTCATTCACTCTGTGTCCCGGCCAGGGACCCCATCCCCGGTGCCCCACCTCCTCAGAGTACACAGTCCTGTTGCTGAGGAGAGGCCTAGAGTGCCCCCCCCTCCCAGCCTGAGGAGAAACAGCTGACCCACTCGGCCTCTCCTCCCCCTCCTCACAGGAGCCCGGGAAAGCAGGGCAGATGGGTGTTTGTTTGTTTGTCTTTTGTCTTTTTGAGACAGGGTCTCACTATGTACTTTAGGCTGGCCTTGAGCTCACTTTGTAGCCTAGGCTCTTCTAGCTCAAACTTGCATTGATCCTCCTGCCTCAGCCTCCCAAGTGCTGGGATTACAGGCGTGAGCCACCATGTCTGGCTAAAGCAGCTGGTCTTCAGTGACCGGAAACGGTTTCCCAGGACCGATGCTCCTGGGAAAGGAAGCTCAGGTGGCAGGGATGATAAGGCCCAGAAAATAATAGTGACCTTTTTAAGAGCAGCGATGAGGAGGAGACCAGCTCTCAACACCATTCTTGAGCATCTAGGAAAGTTCTGGAAGCAGCTTCTCACTCCATGGCCGGGGGCAGAACAGTTCCATGTGGAAAGATGGATTAGTGCTGGCAGATCGGGGGTCCCTATCCCTGTGTGGTGACACGTCTGTTGCCCCCTCGCTGCCCCTCCCACTCCTCCTCCCTCCTCCTGCCTTCCTTGTTCCCTCCCCCTCTCTGCTTCTCTTTCTTCTCTTTTTCTTCCGTGGTTTTTTGAGACAAATCCTCACTGTGTAGCTGAGGCTGACCTTGAACTCACAGCAGCCCTTCCGCCTCGGTCTGCGGAGCGCTGGGATGACAGGCATGCACCACCATGCCCAGTTTAAGAGCTGATCTAGACAAAGACCCTGGATAACCCTCAGCATATCTTCATTTGCTTTTGTTATTATGTTTTCCCCATCCCGGAATCCAACCCATGGCCTTGGCCATGTGGGCAAGTGCTGTTCCCTCCCCAGCCCAGGCCCAGCCCCTGATGCTGCTGCTTAAGTCTCTCCATCTCCAGCAGCTCCTCCCACCACCACCCCCTTTTGTTTTCCTGTCATCGCTGTGGAAGAGGATCAGATCGGGCCCTTTGCCCTGCAGAATGCCCGCCTTCTGATCTCTCTTCCTTGAAGCAGCCTCACTGGTACTGATACTCTCTTATCTGCAAGTACACTCACACGCACCCAGAGGCTTGACTGGATCCAGGTTCGAGGTGGTGCCGCCTACGTCCTGTTCCAGGGTGTCACCAGGCGCGTACCTGCTGGACCCATCTCACTTGTGGTGATGCTCTGACCCTCCCCTGGGTGCACCTTGAATCTCCTTCACGTAACGCTCTCCATGCCTGCTCATTACCCACTTCTTTTGTTGTGAAAGAGTGACTTTTCTGTTTCCATTGCTCCCTTCACTTTTGCTAGCTGGGTTTCTTCTGTGAAGATCTTTCCTTCCTGGCTCCCTGGCTGCCCGGAAATCCAGTCTGCACAGGAAAGGCAGGATAGTGCTGGCCTCTCCTTCTATCGCTCTGTCCTCAGAGGACGGACCTGGTTCCTGAGCACCTCCCATCCATGACCAATGACTTTTGGATTTTCTCTCCTTTCTCTTGAGTATCACTGTACGCACACTGGCTTTTTTACCTCTGACTTGCTTTCATCTGTAACCATTTGCCGCTCCCCAAACCCCAGTACTGAAGGATTTGAAACAGGGTCGTCCTGAATTGCCCAGGCAGGACTCGGACTCATGGTCTTCATGCCTCGGCCTTTCTAGGTATTGACAGGAGTGAGCCTGGGTGTCTGGCTTTTATTCATTTGTAAACTCAAATTACCTATCCCATCCTACCTTGCGCTATCAAGACTCACTTCCAGAGCCACCTGGATTCTTGTGGGGGAAGCATGTCCTGCTTTGAAAGCTCCCCTGCTTTCACCAGCTCCCCTGGGGCCACGAGAAGTCCCAGTTTGTGTGGTACTTTCCTGGCCCGGTCTAGAAGCAGCGCATGTGTCTCCCCATCTTTTCTTAGGTTGGGGTTTGTTCTTTACATGAACTGGTTTTGCCGGCTTGTCCACCAGCCAGAAGTTAGGATTGCTAAATTGCTATCACTGCTTCTAGACTTTTCTGTGGATGTAGCTTGGAAATATGTTTTCAAGAGAATAATGTCATTACTTCACCTGTATGTCCACCCTGAGCTTAATAAGGTCACATTTTTACTTCTTTGACTTTTTCGGTTCTCTTTTCTCTTCTCCTGGAAACCCTAGATTTAAAGATGGTATCTAAATCACCTGCTTTCTTCACCCTATGGTGTAGCGATTTCATTGCCCCCTTTGGCATACAGAGACCCCACAGGAGAAACATGGTCATGTGTTATGTTTTATATCAGGAGTACTACGATTGAAACCACAGGGTGAAATTTGATGTCTGTTTCTGTTGTTCTGAGAATTTATCCTCTCCTGGATGTGGAATGGAAAGTCATTTGGGTGTCAAGTTAAAGTCACTGGAAATAGTTCCTTTTTCCACATAGTTGTGTTAATAACCTGATAGAAAATTGCGCTTTGCTGTTTCTGGTTTCCAGTTTTAAAATTTGTTTTATTTCCTTTGTTGCTTGGTCTTGTCTTTCATTTATGTAAAGTGTTTACATAGCTCCAAAGACAAAATCCTAAATGCAAGTCCCTTGTGCCGTTTCCCCTCTCATTCTTTCCTTCTCTCCAAAAGAGAATGATCCTCACTTATTTGCTACTTGTCTTTCTGTTTCTGTGTTTTAAGATATAAGCGAACACATAGACAGATGTAGTGGTGTATTCTGCCAAGCCTGCACCTATCCCTGGCCTGCATGGTCAGCTGCTGAGTTTTCCGTCAGGTGACCTCCCTGGTTTATTCCAGCAGGCACCTGTCGAGGGACCCATGGGTCATTTCCCACTTCCGTGGTGCTCACAGCCTGTGTACTTTTGCCTGTGTCTTTTTGGAAATCTCCTCTTGCTGTCCCGACTCGAGGTATCTGAGTCATGGTCCTGGCTGCCCTGGGCTGTGGCCACAGGCTGTCCGCTGTAGGGGACATGCAGGTGTGTGGTGACCTCTGATAAGAGCTGCCCGGTTTTCATCCTGGGCTGACTCCTTCCTCAAAACGGAGGACAGCGTCTTGGGAACCATGGGTTCCCTCTTGCAGGCTGGAAAGTGTTAGGAAAAACAATACCGCCTTGCATCAGCAGTGGGGCAGAGCCACTCCTCAGAGTCCCTGATGCCCCATAGAGGTCAGGATGCCTGGGAGGACAGGGTGGGGTTGGTGGGCACAAGATGCCCAGGATGAAGAGGGGGCTTTCCTTCCTTCACTGCCGTCTCAGTCATCTCCTTCCACCTATTGTTCAGGCTGCTAGGAAAATCTGACAGTGAATTCCCACATCCTCTGAGGGCATTGTATGCATGTCCTGTGGCTTCAGTCCCAAATCAGACCCTTGAGCTGGGAAGAGGCTGGGGTAGTGATGACCAAACTACCGAGGGTGGTGCTGCAGAGCGTAGGGATGGAAGTTGGGTCAGAGGGATCACAGATTGTGCTGGGTCACCAAAAGAGGGTGCGGTCTTGCAGCCACTGACGGTTTGGACCACCTTAGAAGGACACTCCATCCGGCAGGCCTCGGGCTGCAGTGGAGATGCGGCCTCCAGTTCACCAGGGGGCTGTGTTCACCCACAAGCCTTGCCCCTCTCCTAGGGCACCCAGGCCAGGTGTCTGCGGAACACAGCCAGTGCCAGCCCTCTATCTCTTATCTTGGACCTCACACCTCTTCCGAGTTTGGTTTTTCCGCTAATGAAAAGAATCCACACAAGCTTAGTTCCCTTGGGAAGATTCCCGTCCCTGCAGTGCTTCTCACAGTAGCCAGTGGCGTTTGACAGAGGGATAAACTGAGTCAGAGGGGTCAGAAGCTGGTTGTGTGACTTGCTGCTAACCCACTTCTGTTTTCACCCTGAGTACCCCGACTCAGTGACAGATGGAGGTGGCCAGAGTCTCACAATAGCTCTTTGATCCCAGGGAGTCCAGGGGCACGTTGGGCAACCGGGCCCTGTCGCATGACAGCATTTTCATTCCTGAGGCGGGACAGGACCCTGCTCGGCCCGTGCGGGTGTTTTCCCAAGAAAATGTGTGCGACCGGATTAAAGCCTTGCAGGTAAGTGTTTCCTGGACAGTGTCACGTGGTGTGTGTGTCATTCTCCATCCAATAGTTTGTGATTTCTGCCTGTCTCTTGGACACATTGAAAGTAGATTTGAAGGCATAGCACAGCTCTCCCAAGATGCCACCAACACTACACCTGGAGCCTGTCTCGCACTGAGTGACAGTTTAGGTGGATGCAGAGCGGTGACACCAAGCCAGCTGGTGGTGGCTGCGCTTCTGTTTCCGCTTTCCACCACCCATGAGGGGGCTGGAGATGTTTCCTGATGCCATCGGTGGGAACCCTCAGAGCAGATGTTCTTTGTGTCAATCTAGTTAAAAATACAGTGTCATGTGAAGATGGGGCCACCACCTCCAGGAGGGCTGCCCATCAAGCGGGCCGAGGACACCGGCATGAGCTCCGAGGATGACGGGCTACCCCGGAGCCCCCCCGAGATATCTCTGCTGCACGACGTGGGTGCGGGCCCAACCATAAAGGCAAGTGTGGCGTGTGCCACTGAATGGTCCCGTCCTCGCCTGCCACCGCCGGCAGCCGGGGGTTGGGGGTCCTCTACAATGTCCCGTGGGTAAGAAAGGGTGTGCAAGGCTTGGTGGCCCAGGTCACCGGAGCCTCCAGCTGGCCCCTGAGCTATGTTTGTTCTCATTCTTGGAGCAGAAATTCGAGTCAGAATTAGAGATACGGGTTGGGTGACATTTTTGTGGTGATGGTAGGACTGACACAGAACAGATGACCCGACCTGGAATCCCATTTAAAAAGAGAACGATGCCTTTGTGTCTGCCCTGGCTGGGGGAAGAAGGGACAGTAAATATGTGCTGCTTCACCTAAACCCCATGGCCAAGCCGCTGCCGGGAAAACCTGTGGGTTTAGGTAGGGTGCCAGGCGTGGATCTGGTACACAGGGCAGCAAGAAGAGTTGGTCAGGCAGGAAGAGGGGTTTATGACCTCAGTGGGGTGGAGGAGCTGACCCCAAATACCTTCCTCCTCATACAATCAGGAGAGGGAACCCAAGGAGCTAGGTCTCCATCCTGCTCCATCAACACCATAGTTCCTGACGTTGCCACTTTTTATTCTTATTTTATGTAATTTTATTTTATTTTATGTAATTTTTTTGCTGCCATTCTTTTTAAAATGTTATTTTATTACGCTAGGAACACTCAACACCCATGCAATGTCCTTGCACATAAATGACAGAGCAGATGGTCCTTCTCCCCACGTAGAGAAGTCCTGCTGTAGTGTGGATCTGATTGGAATTACTTAAGCTTTCTTAACACTGGAAAGCAAATAAAGCCCGGAGCCCTCGTTTTATAGCCCCAGCCCTGCACTGTGAAGCCACAGACACTTTCCACTCTGGCTGGCAGAGGGGTTGCTCACAGTGACCTTGTGAGGTGGCAGCTTCTGTGTCCCAGGGAACGGTATTCAGGAACTTGGGTGCCTTGAAGCACTCCTAATTTTTGAAAGTAGGTGTGAGCTCCCAGGATGGTGGTATGGGCTGGGTCTAGACCCCATTGGACAGACCCCACACCCCATAATACCCTGAAACACCCCCATGCAGCCTCATTCTCTCTCAGGAGTACACACAACCTGGTGTGTTTGGGGCACACAGCGGGGAGAGACCTGTCTGAGGTGCCCCCCTTCTTAGCAGCCACTGACTCTCCCTCTCCCATCGGCCCGTGGCCTGGCCTTTTCTCTGCCTGTAGTACTCTGCCTGCTGTCAGAGCAAGCTGTAAAGAGGAACAGCAGTTTTTAACTCCTTCATTTACAAGCAAGCTCCACTCCTAAGCCTCTCAGTGGCATGATGTCCAAACTCCATCAGTGGCCTAGGGGTGGGCCTATATTATGTATTAAGTTCTGAAGTTTTGTCGTTATTGAGTAATTTTTACAATCCACTAGCTTCATAGGACACCAAAATCTGAGCCTTTAAAATCTGAAAACATATATTATATATGTAATCTTTGCCATCATGGTTCTGAACGCTTTGTGTTATGTGTCCAGAGATTCTTTTCTGCACAAGTTGGCCAATGGACAGGAAAATACAAAACAAGGCAGCCTTTTACAGCGTGCTTATATAACACATGATATTTAATATTTAATACAATGGCGCCTCGAGTCCCAAGAGGATAAGACTGTGGGCTGTGTGATTTTATCTTGTGTGACACCTTCCCTGGGCCCACATGCCTGACAAAGAAACTTAAGATCATTGTGGGGGAAAAATGTCTTAAGTAACAAGTATTTGACGACATAGCCAAGGTAATATTTCCTGACAGAGTAAGTTTTTCAGGAAATATTTTAAAAATTTGTTGCCATGCAAATTAACCAGTGATTGTGGCTAAGATTTTTTGCCTAACTGGTCTCAGACTAAGTTTCCAGCTCTGGGGTCTTAGCAGGTTTGTCACCTCTTAATTTGAGTCCTCAGTCAGTGTAGGGAGGATTAAACAAGGTCAGGTCAGCTGATACCAACCTTTGTTTCTGAGGACAATTTTGGAAAGTGGCTCCCACCCAAGGGCACCCTTAAAACTCCTGAACCCCAAGCTGTTTCTCCAGAGGCCTTTGGGCCACATTCTCTAACTATCAGAGTTTGCAGTTCCATGCTTCCAGAATTGTCCAGTGCAGACTTCAGGAAAGACTGGGTGACTGGGACAGTCGGCACAGAGGTGGACACCCTCCGGGTGCTGCCAGCCCTCCCATGGAATCACAGGCCAGAAAGGCCCCACCCTATGTGGTCACATTACTGATCAAAAACAAAACTCATGATTCTTCTCGGCTGTGACATTGGTCTTTTCTGGCCCTGAGAACTCTCAGAATGACCGCAGGGACAGAAGTGAGAAGTAAGAGTTCTGAGGCTGGAGAAGTTGAGTTCCCTGGGGAGAGATCAGCTGTGACATTGGCACAGGGTTTGCAAGGGACAGAGATTGAGGCCTTTAAGCCCCATGCCATGGTCTCCTGGCCAAAGAGCTGCAGTGAGCCTGAGCCCAGGAGACCCAGGCGGAGGAGGGGCAGGGGTACATGGTTTACGGTTTGGTAACCAAGGCACTTGAGGTTCGCACCTATGGACTCCACTTCTACAAAACACCTCATCTTGTCTCTTCTCATGAGTCTCAGCTGTGAGACAGAACGTTATCTCCTACAGACAGCTAACCCAGTGAGCCATGACTCAAGTCAGCGGCAGAATGTTATCTCACACTCAGTCTCTAACAGGGTAAAAAGCAACAATTCTGCTTGATTTTGAAATATACACATCCTGCTTATGACCCCCTGAGAAAGGAAAGGTGCCATTTGCTGAGTCTAAGACAGCTTCCTGAGTCATCAACTACGTTGTTGAAGCCAGGAGGTCTGCGGTTTCTTTTTCAAGTAGTTTTCTGCCTTTATTCCCGTAAGTATCTGGCTAAGAGAGAGCTAGAATAGATGTTATCTACTTCCAACCCATTCTCCATCATTTGGGCATCTTATAGAAAACGAGCTTTCTGTTTCCACCAGTCAGTAGCAGGGACCTTTAGGAGAACAGAGTTGTCCCTTTGCAGGAGTGGCCTCTGAATTGGAAACTGTTTTCTTCACCAAAAAAATGACATCAGTTTATGGTGCTGACCACCTGCCCTATTCAGGGCTGCAGGGTCACAGAGAAGCCAGAAAGGACGCACTCGTGGTCCTGGAGGTCACCGTCAGAGGGTGGCTCCACTGTCCAGTTTGCTGCCTGTTTTCTGAAGAGACTGTTTTCAGGGGACTTATGAGGTCACTGTGTGGTAAATAAAGTTATGTTAAATCAGAGTGAAAATGTGTCACTGGTACTGGGTGCCAATACTCAAACAGGAAGGGTTGGTGGCTTGGTTGGTTCATCTGAAGATCATAAGGTAGTCCCCAAAGCACCCAGACCACCCAGATTCTCCCTGTGCATATTGCCCCTCCTCTGGGCTGAGTGTGCCCAGTGCTTTGCACTCTATGTCTCTCTCTCTCTCTCTGACTCTGTCTCTCTTTATCTCTGTCTGTCTCTGTCTGTCTGCCTGTCTCTATCTCTCCCCACTTTGTAGGAGAACCCTTGGTCCCTGCTCTGTGGAGGAGCTCGCTAAGTTTGGTGGGCATGAGTCTTTGCATGTGGCTCCCGCCACCCCAGAACACATTTGCTCTCGCTGATCCTCAGTTCCTCCTGCCGAGCTGTTTACACCTCTGTAAACAACTCTGTAACTTGCATCTCTGTAACTTGCCACATGGCAACTTCAAGTCAGATCTCTCCAGGAAGATGCAGGGGCTTTTTAGCGTGAACAAACAGCTCCACCCTGATGGTATGCGGGTAGGACTCGGCATGTCCGGTGCCCACTCCCTGAAATCCCGCCCCTGGGCCCACCCCTCAGCCTCCAGAGACATTGCAGGTGCCTCTGCCCTAGCACATGGGACTGGTCTGTTGTGCTGGAGAAAGTAGCCACGAGAGGGAGGGGACAGCGTCCTCCTGCTAGAGCAGCCCCGTCACATGTTTTCTGCTGTGTTTCAGGTCCAGGGTGTGGCCCAGTACTCCTGCCCATTTAGCTTCCTTTTGGAAAAGAATTTCTTTTTCTTTTTATGCATGCCTAGTAATTTTACAAAATGCTGTTTTGCTGTGGCACTTCAGACACACATATGACCTCTTTGGTCATAGCCTAGAATGTTTCCTGTCCAGATCCAGAGTGGACACGTCCCTTCCCAGGTACAGCCCAGAGACCGTGCAGGACCTCAGGAAGGGCTGTGTGTGTGTGGAGCCATGAAGTTAACGCTTGCTGTTTGCTCCCTGCTCTGTGAAGGTCTGCCTCGTGTCCTCATCACGGCCTCAGTCCCCAGACCACACGAACAGTGCCACCGTCTCCTCCCGGACCTCAGATAGCAGCCTGGCACCTGTGGCTGACTTCAGCCAGCCCCCAGAGTCCTCCTCCTGCCTGGACAACTCTGCAGCCAAGCACAAGCTCCTAGTGAAGCCACGCAACCAGCGGTCCAGTAAGATGAGGCGGCTGTCCTCGGTAATCGGAGGGCTCGGTCCCTTCCCCCACGCTTTCCCCTTGGCTGCCCCCTTTTCAGCCTTGGGGGTTTAGTGCAGAGTTCCTGTCCCCAGAGAGGTGCACAGCAATCTCTTACTTCCTTCAGAGGAATTGACGCACGCAGGAGTGGCCTTCCTAAATGCATGTGTTCCCTGCTCCCTCCCAGCCCTTGACCCCGCCTCTACTTCCAGCCTCCAAAGCAGTGCTAGGCACAGGGCTGGCATGCAGTAGTTTGTTGAATGGCTGGCTGAGTGAAGCAGCAAAGGAATGAATGAGGGAAGCAGCTGAAACGCTAAAGTGACTCCTGTCTTGGATGAGAACCTACTTAGCAGCACGATGACCAGACTCGTTGGGGCATGCTGCTGGGAGAACTGGCACCTTGTGGTTCGAAAAGCTGATCACTTGGTTCATGGGCTACTTTGGCCTATGGTGCTAGGGGGTCAATGATCCACATAAATTGTCTTCTCCCCTGCCTGATGGGGCTCAGATGCCTCAGTCCTGGGGGCAAGGGGGGCAGGATGAGTGTCCAGCTGCTACAGGGAATGACCTTGCTGGGAGACATATTCACAGACGAGCGTCCCTTACCCTCTCCTCCCCTTGAGACATGAACGTAGGGTATTGGATAAGTTCCCAGGACAAGCTAGGTGCTTCAGCTGGGGACAGTGAGCTGGGCTTCTGGAGAGAGCAAATTTCCCTGCACTCGTGGGAGGCACTTTGCAAACTCAGCTGGCATAGCCAGAGGAAGGCGCAGGTGGGTCCGTGCACATCCCGTGCTCAATGGAGCCTTGACAAGGACCAGGGACCTCAGATCTGCCCATGCTCCCACAGGGAGGAGACCCAGGGACGGGGACAGCCTGTGCTTTGTGGGACCTCGGCAGTTTACGCTGCTGCCCAGAACCATGCTCTGTGTGCAGTTCCAGGCGCAGGAAGTACAAGCAGAGTGTCCACAAAGGGTCGTACCCTTGTCTCACCATACCAGCTGGCCCTCTGTGCAGCTTGGCAGTGCCAGAAGCGGGGAGCATTGCGCCTGTACCCCCAGGATACCGGGGTATAGGTCTCCCAGCTGCCAATTGCAATACGCTGGTCTCAGAGATTGACATCTCCTCTCTCCCAACTCCCACACCACCACTGGGGTCGTTGAATTGATTTGAGGACAGTGAGAAAAACACCACAAGACTGGAGAACATAAGAGTTTCAACTGAGCTGAGAGGTTTGGATTTTATTCTGTAAGGCGAAGTGAACTGTTGACGACCTTAGCAGTGATGTGAATGGTCTTTTAGGAGGACCAGCCTGACTTGAGACACTGACTCAGAGGGAGCAGAGTTACAAGAAAAGCCCCTAGCTGGTCAGCTGGGCCACCCGCTGGCCATTAGTTAGGTCCTCTTGACCCAGACCTTGACACCTCTGAGTTCCTACTTATCCAAGTGCAAAAAGGGAAGGAAGGTCGCTTCCTCACTGGAATGAAAGAGATCCAGCAAGAGAGTGTGGAGTGTGGAGCCTGGTGGATACTCGGCTGCCTCAGCCTCACTGTGATGAGCAGCGTCCGCTGATTTTGCGGCTGGCTCACAAGAGCTGTCAGTGACCTTTGTCTTGAGGACCCTCAATGTATGAGCCAAGCATCGAAACCACTAAGGGAGAGATGAAGAAGCACACCTGTGTGTGACGGTCCTCCGTGCCATCTTAGGGACACACTGCCACCAGCCAAGAGCCTTGAGGAAGTCCTCGATTCTCTAATACCTACTACAGTACTGATCTCTTATTTTTCTTTCTCCCAGAGGGCCCAGTCTGAATCCCTGAGCGACCTGACCTACACCCCCGAGGAAGAGGAATCCGATGAGAAACCAATGCTCGAAGTCAGCATGGAGGAGAATCCCAGCTCCGGGCAACAGGATTTGATGCTGGACAGAGACCCTGAGCCTGGGGCAGCTGTCACCTTGCTGCCACTCGGGGGACCCCGTGCCAGACGTGCCCGCCTGCAGCACAGCCCGGCACTCAGTGCCAGTGTGGAGGAGAGCAGTGTCCTCGGGGACATCCCCTCAAGTCGTCCGACCACCCCAGAGGTCACTGAGTCTGTGGCAGTCCCAGCGCCCTGCACGGAGCCCCCATCTCTACCAGAAGGCTCTCTGCACCCCATTCCTGACATTGAAATCCAGGAGGAGGAGGAGCTGGCCACTGCAAGCCCGTGTCCCCTTGAAGAGGACAGAGATGAGGAGATGGTTTGTGCTTCTGGTGATGTGGAAAGTGCATTGCCTACCAATGTCCCTGCAGTGGACATAGCACCTCTCGACACAACACCTCCTGAGGTTGTCACTGCCACTACCTTGGAGATACCCAGTGATGCAGACAGCCCAGACCAAAGCCTCCAGCAGGAGGCAGAACCCACATTAGCAGTGCCCAGCCCCAAGGCAGCCGGGACAGAGCCGGCCGCGGGCCCCACCCCGAGTCCTCCCGGGCCTAAGAGCTGTTTGAAGCACAGGGCTATGACAGTGGCTGAGGACCTCAGTGTGTCCCCAGCACCCATCACAGAGCCACCTCTGCAGGAGCCCAGTCCCCGTGCCCTGGGCACCGAGGCTGTACCTCCTGAGCATCCTGAGGCTGTGCCCCCAGAGCACCCCAAGGCTGAGCACACAGAGTCCCCTAAGAGTGGTCCTGAGAGGGGGACTCCAGGACGGAAAAATGAACGGGGTGCTGGTGGCAGTGGCGGGGAGCTGCGGGGTGGGAAGAAGTTTTCAGTGTCTTCGTGCAGGGCGCGGCCACGCCCAGGAGGCCCTCGCCCTCTGGGTCCCACTGGCCCGGCTGTCCCCACTGTCTCTGCAATCCGATTGCCCCTGGCACGCAGTGGCCTGGCCTGGAGGAGCGAGGCGGCCCTTGATGATCTCCGTGTGCTCCCCGACCCTCAGACCAGGAAATTGGACCCTCAGAAACCAGCAGAGCCTGAGTCTCAGGACTCGGGGGACCTCGAGGCCACCACATCAGGCACAACAGAGCCTTGCCTGGCTGCTGCGGAGCCACCCCCATGTGAGGACAGAAACCCCTTCCCTGTCAAGCTGCGGTCCACCTCCCTGTCTCTCAAGTACAGAGAGGGACCCTCCCAGGAAGCCAAGGGCCTCAAGAGGTACAGTGCCGAGGTCAGGTTAGAAAGAGGAGGGCTGGCTCTGCTCCCCAAAGATGAGCAGGATCACACTGGAACTGCCCCTGTGCTCCGAGGTGCCAGGTCCCCCAGCAGCCAGGGGAAAGGGAAGGCGCGATCCCCTGAACAGCCCAGCTCCAAGCCACCCCTACCCAGGAAGCCACTACTACAGAGCCTCACCCTGGCCTACCTGCCTGACACCAGCCCTGGAGAGCCTGAGAAAGTGACCCTGCCTGCAGACCCCAGGAAGGACAGCAGAGTGGAGAAGAAGCCGGGGCGCAGAGGAGCTGGTAAGAGCCTCCTTGGAGGCACTGGCATTGGGTGGGGCAAAGGGAATTTGTTCCTGGAGGTCCTCAGAGAACATAAACACTCTTGAAGCAAAGGGAATGAAAGAAGGACTCAGTGTTCCAAGGGTTAGGGGCCCGAGGGTACGGCCTAGGGCTTTGAGCCCTTGCCCTGCATGACTGAGACTCCGGGTTCAGTTCCCAGCATTGCAAAAACATACACCAGCACCAACTAAGAATTAGAAACAGAGGCACCTGCTGTAACCCCAGCACTGCGAGAGGCTGAGACAGGAGGTTCTTAGGTTTGAACGCAGCCTGGACAATTGTGACTGTGTGAAAGGAGGGAGGGGCTGGAGCTGTGGCTTGGTGCAAAGGCTCTGGGTTCGGTTCCCAGTACTGAGGGAAAAAAACAAAGAAAAAATAAATGAACAACAACAGTAATTGTGTGTAAGTGCTGAGAAGGCAGGTGTGTACACGTAATGGGAGAAATGACAGCGCGCTCCCCAAGATGCACAGGGCTGCTCCGCTAACCCTGGCGTGTGTGTGCTCATCTTGGTTCCCCTAGCCCGAAGCTGCTTCCTGTCCAGAAATGAAACATCTCACTTCTCTATCAGACAGAGTCCTCTGACCTTCCCCCCCAAGGATGTTCCTTCCTTGTCCTCTCAAGGCTCAGATGGCCCGGCCTCACAAAGAAAGCATCTGTGATTGACTGGAGTCACAAGGCTTTATACAAAGGAGCCTTTTAAGATTGAAGGTCTGTGTTTATTTGCTGTCCCAAAAAAGGAGATCAGGTTGAGACTGGAGCGGCTTGGAGGAATATTTCCAAATGGCTGTCCTTTAAGGTGAGCCAGGACAGACTAGGGACCAGGAAGGCCACACCTGCTAGCGCTTGGTCACCTTAGAAACTCAAAGCACTTACCACCTTCCTCACTGGGAGGCTTTCTCCTCCTCTGACGTTTGTCACCTCCAGTGTTTCGGAATGGAGATCTGTGGTCAAAGTGAGGACTCATTCATTACTGGTTTCTTTTATTTATGGAAATCGAGGTTTCAGAAAACAGTGTCCCATACCCTTGAGTCATATATGTGTGTGATAAGGGTCCTAGGAGGAAGTTTTCCACGGCACATTTTATTTGTAAATATTTCTGGCTATTTTAAGTGACCCTGGAAGACCAGGAGTCCACTTAGCTGCTGCATTGCAGGGCAGAGGAAACAGACTTGGTGGGTGTCTCAGGGGAATCCTTTACCTTAAACGGGAGATGCACCCAGGAGGAAAAATTAGCATCAACAACACCCTGTGAACACAGGTCCAATGTGTGCTGCCTCCCAGTGAGGAAGGTGGTAAGTGCTTTGAGTTTCTAAGGTGACCAAGAATACCAGGAAGTGCCAAGCGCCAGCAGGTATGGCCTTCCTGGTCCCTGGAACCCTTGGCTTAGCTTGTACCGCAACAAGGGACCCAGGGCGTTTGGGTATTCAAGTCCTACCCGCTGATCCACTCTGCAGATGTCAAGCACGTTACTGAAGCAACTGCAGAGTGGTTCTGAAAACCATTTGAACAGCAAGGGGAGTTGCTCTCAGGGTATGAAACCCAGGCATGAGCACCGTCCACCTCCATGGCCTGGGGTACCTCATGGCTCCACATTTCTCAAGGGTTTGTGGAATGAATGGAACATAGAAACAGGATCTCCAGAGTCAGAGTCCAAACTGGAAAAGAAGCTTCCTAGGGCGACACCTGGCCCCTTTCTCCAGGGCGACACCTTGTACAAGCCCCTCAGCCCAGGGCTGGAGGCTGCTGTCTTCACCTGGGACCGTCTGTAGCCAACCTTGTGCTTTCTTTTTTCTTTAATTTATGAAATGTGATACGGCATTTATGTTGAAGGGCTTCATTAAGTAGTAGGAGAAAATCATCTTGTCCACCGATGAATATTACTGATCTCTAAGCCACAGAAATATCAGCCAGGTAAACTCCAAAGTGGAAGAAGCTGGGTTACTTTCATGGGCACAGGTAGTGATTTTTGTCATAGTGCAAAGAGAGGAGAGGAATTACCCACGTTCCGTCAGGAACTGCTCTCCCTGGGGGTGGTATTTAAGCCATATTGTGGGTGCGTCCTGGGCCTGCTCCAGATTTTGGGGGTCTGGGGTGTGCTTTGTGCAGACCAGAGTGGAATGGTTAATTCATTCTTACTACTTCTGCTTTCATCCTTCTCGTGGCTGGAGGCAATCCAATTCCTATAAAACAGAGATAATAGAAGTTTAATAACAATGCCCATCTGTTTTCCAAGAGGACCTAATTACTGCTATTTATTACCTTGTGGTGGCAGGTACTTTGCCCAGAGCTCCCCGATGGCTACTATCTCCACACATCCCTTTCAGGGCACGCATTGTAAACTTAGATTATCAAAGTGTTCCTCATGGGTGCACAGCTCTTGCATGGCTTGCCTCTCCCTGCCTTGCCCTTCACTCCCCCTTCCATCCCCCCGCCATGCTCCCTTCCATACTGTGTATTCCCTTCCTGAAGAAATGGAGAACCCTTCACAGGAGAAGGAAAGATGCAGTGGCTTTTGTAATGAACACAGGACCTGATTTGCCAGAGAGGCTGGGCTTTACATGGTCAGGATAGCATGGGTCACTGCTTTAGTGATAACAGAAATTAAATATAAAACAACAGCAGGAGTTTACAGGCAAAAGCTTCCTTCCATTAGAAGGTTAAGAGAAGCTAAAGAAAGGGCTCCAGCCTGACTCCCATGAAGATCAGAGTGACCCACCCACAAAAGGCGGGGAGAACAGTTGTACGGTTTTTGCGGCAGGCTGGATCTGGTCAGTCAGGGCTGACTGTGTAGTCAGGCTGAATCTTGTTGGTCAAGGGTGGATGGTTTGGTTCCCATCAGGGGGCCCAGGTGGAATCCTCATGCCTTCAAGGGCAGTCCCAGTCATGCGAGGCTTTGGAGATGCTGTGGGTAGCTGAATGTGCCCGTAGAGCTTTTATCTTGGTGTCTCTATCTTGATGGGTGCGTGAGATAGGCTAGGTAAATTTATGGCTGATAACCTTGTTTTGCCAACATTTAGACACATAATCCCTGAAGGCTAACATGCCTGTGTGCAGAGCTGAAAAGGATTTATTTGACCCGGGGTTTCAGAAAATGAAGGGCAAAGCTTTGTTTTACTTTTAGTGAGGCTCACACAGTTGCAGGCTTTAGCAAAAACCAGGCTTAACGCCCTGATTGTCTTAGAAAACGTAAATCATGCATTCGGTGAGTAACAGATTCAGAGCCCAGGAGTCTTTCCTGTGTCCTTATGGTGTTGACTATGTCCTGACTGTCTCAACCTGGACTCTGCAAGCTCAAGACCGTATCTGTGCTGCTCAGCACAGAGAAGACCTCTGTCTAGACCTGCTCTGCCATTGTAAGTAAGCTACAGAGAAACAAAACCTGAAAAGTTCACAGTGAAAAAGGAACTCAATAGATGCCCAACCTTGAGATATCTCAAATATTGAAAGTTCCAGGCAAAGACTTTAAAGCAGCTATTAAAACATGTTCCATGAACTAAGAGTGAGCCCTCTTGAAATGAAAGAAATTCTCTGCAAAGAAATAGGGGCTGTTTTTAAAAATAGAAATGTTAGAACTAGAAAAATGAGCAAGGCTGGCTTTATTAGTATCAAACAAAGAAGAATTCAAGAAAAAGGACAGTAATTAGGGATAAACTGGCTTACTACCTAGTAATACTGGTGAATTGATAATGGTGGATTTGCCAAAAAATGAAACAATCCTAAATATGAATGCATCTAACTTTAAAACAGAGGAAACAAGAACTATAAAGTTAAAAAAAAAACATGATGCTATATAGACTTTGATGTTCTTCTCTCAGTAGTTAAGAAAAGGAGCAGACATAAAATTGGGACGAATACAAAGTCTTGGACAATAGGACTTCAGTAGTTCGCGCTAGCTGGTATTTATAAGGACACTCACCAAACAGAATGTTCACAGAGACAGCTCATATTCTGAGTTCTTATTAAATTTAAAAGAATCGAAAAGTTTATTCTCTGTGCACTACACATAAAGAATTCAGTAACATATCTGAGAAATATCTAGAAAGATACCTGAAAGATTCTTGAATATTTGGAATTAAACACTAACACTAAATAATTCATGAGTCAGAGAGGAACCCTAAAGGGAAATTAGAACAATGAATTAAAATAAAAATACATCTGAATTTGTGGAATGCAGATGGAGTTGCACTTATGCAAATTTCAGCTTTTGAAGCAAGGTTTCGAAGCAAGGTTTCAAATCAATGATCTAAGCTTCTGCTTGGAGGAACTAGAGAGAGAGGAGAGAGCTAAACCCAAAGCAAAAGGGAAAGATAATTATAAAGAACAAACATTAATGAAGATAAAAATATCAAAATAATAGAAAATAATAAATCTCAAAATGGTTCTTTGAAACAGCCGATAAAATTGACAAATCTGTAGACAAGCTGACCACAAACCCGATAAAATACTAATACACCCACCTCAGAGGGTATTACTACTGACCTCTAGCCACTAAAATGACAGTGAGGACACAGTCAGTATGAACAGTTCTCTGCACATAAATTTGAGAAATGAGAAAAAAGGTCCATTTCCTTGAGAAACACAAACTAGCACATTTACAAAGAAGAAATAGATTATCTAAATAGCCCTAAATCCATTAAAGAATTTAAATCTTTATTTTAAAATCTCCCAAGGGGGGAAAAACTCACATTGTTCAACTAGTGATTTCTGCCAAACGTTTATTTTATTTAAAGAAAGACAAAACAAAATAGAAAATGGGCAGAAATAGTACATACTTTCAAAGAAAAGCAATAAAGAGTAATAAATCACTAGCTGATGTATACATATTGTCCCCCTATAAATAGTTGTTCAAGGTACACAGTGGAACATATAAATGGGAATTCAACCAGGGAGATGGCAAACAGTTCTGTTCAACTACCCAACAAAAACTAAGTATTATGGCTATCAATCCTATACACTTAGA